TAGCCTTTATATGCACAGACAATAAATCTGAAGAAGAAGAAATCAAGAAAATCATCCCTTTTATTATTGAAACAAACAAAAAAATCAAATACTTGAGAATAAACCTAATAAAAGAGGTAAAGGACCTTTACAAAGATACCTATAAAACACTGTTAAAAGAAACAGAAGAAGACACAAAGAAATGAAAAAACATTCCCTGCTCATGGATTGGAAGAATTAATATTATCAAAATGGCCATCCTACCAAAAGCAATTTACAGAGTCAATGCTATTCCAATAAAAATTTCAATGACATTCTTCAAAGAAATAGAGCAAATATTGATGAAAATCTATGGAGCCACCAAAACCCCCAAGTAACTAAAGCTCTCCTGAAAAAAAAAAAAAAAATGAAGGGAATGGAAGCATAATACTCCCAGATTTCAAACTATACTGTAAAGCCATCATAATCAAAACTGCATGGTATTGGAACAAGAACAGATACATGGACCAATGGAACCAAATAGAAAATCCAGAAATAAACCCAGAGATTTACAGTCAACTAAACTTTGACAAAGGAGCAAAGAATGTGCAATGGAGCAAAGAATGTTTGTTCAATAAATGGTGCTTGGAAAACAGGGTTGCTACATGCTAAAGAATGAAGTTTGGCTACTACCTCACACCACGCACAAAAAACAACTCAAAATGGATTAAAGAACTAGACATAATACCTGAAACCATAAAATATATAGAAAGAAATATAGATGAAACACTACATGACATACACCTCAGCAATATCTTTGAAGACTCATCACCCAGTATGTAAACTTGGGGAAATTATATATTTTTGCAATCCTTATCAACTTAATAGAGAATAAATTTGTTTTATCTACTCTAATGGATTTTACAAGCAAAGTCTTTATTCTTAAGGAAATTAAAGTTGCTGTTCGTTTGGTCTCAGTGTACAAATCAGTTCTTAACATTCATTACAAGTTCTTGAATGATCTGGTCCTTGCTAATCTCTGCACCATTTCTCGTCAGTCTATCCTATCTACATGTGTGGCTAAAATAAAAAGTATGCTCAGCTACTTTTTTTTAATTTTAATCTTAAAATCCAACAACCATCGTTTATTATAAAGATGAACTGCAAGCCTCGTGATGGGCTTATTGGTAGGATTTCTGGTAGTGAGCACCGGCTCCAGGGCCTCCGAACTTCTTGGATTAACAACGACGGGGATCAGCCACCAGCAGGGTCCGGTCATACTGGATGAGGATGTCTTTGATTTTCTTGGAGGCCTCATCTACATATTTCTGGTAATAGGCCACAGGGCTTTGGAGATGGACTGGCGGATGCCGTAAATCTGGGCCACATGACCACCACCCTTCACACGGACACGGCCAGCAAATCGCTCCTTACCCAGAAGCAGAACAGGTTCCAGCAGCGTGTACTGCAGCGTGCGCGGCTCGATCATCTCCAAGTGCCGCCGTTTCACCTTGAAGAGGCCCTTGCCGGGTTTGCAGTGCGCCAGAGTTGTGGGCGTCTTCTTGCTTCCGAAGACTTGCACGAACTGCGGGGACCCCTTGGACAGCATTGCTGCAGATCCAGACGGGAGCTCCTCACCGTGCAGTGCCATCCTCAGCTACTTTTTTAATTTCAAGTCCTTAATTGCAATTTGCTTTTTTTTTTTTTTAAGATTTATTTATTTATACAAGCGCTGGGGTACAGGCCAGAGGCATGGGAGGGTAAGAGAATTCACCAAAGACAGAGCAGGTAGCAGAATAGGCAGAAGGACCGAAGTACACAGGAGAGGTCTGCCATGTGTGAGTCTCCCTGGCTGGCTGGGAATGGAACCGGTGCTGCAGAGGCTGCGGACAGCTTCACAGCGCTGAGCTCAACTTGCTGTGCCACCTGGGAGGCCGAACTTGCTCTGTCTTGTGTCAAGGATTCCTCCTTCCTGTGTCCCTTGGCCTTACCCCCTCCACCTGGTTACCCTGTATTTATTCACTTCGCTTCAGCTTTTTCAAGGAAGCCTTCCCTAAGTATGAGTATCTGGACAAGATGCTCTTCTGTGTGGTCGTCCAGTCCCTAATTTTCACCAAGAATATTAATTGTGTGATTTTATTCCCTTGATCTCCCCCTCCCTTGCAACTAAACCAAAAGCTCCATGAGAGCAGAGATCAGGGAATATGACAATTTTATTCAACAATATACACCCAGTGTCCAGCAAAGTATCTGACACAGTGATGATCAGTACATGTTTGCTTTGGACTAAAAATTGAGCCCCTCTCAAATCCATATGTTGAAGCTCTGTCCCCTAAGGTGATATTATTTGGAAGTAGGACCTTTGAAGAGAATTAGGTTTGAATGAACTAAGAAGATGGGATTTTCACGATGGTATCTGCTGCCTTTATAAGAAAGAACATCAGAGAATGAAATATCTCATTCATTCCTCTCTCCATGTACACACATCTTCCTTCCTCCCCTTCCCCAGTTTGAGAACACAGTGAATTGTCCTCAGTTTGTAACCTGTCAGAGAACTCTCCAGAACCTGAAAATGCTGACATCCTAAAATCAGATTTCTAGCATCCAAAACTGTCAAAAAAAAAAAAAAGTTTCTGTTGTTTAAGAGATACAATCTTTGGTATTTTATTGTGGCAACTCAAATTGATTGATTAAAGGAATAACTAAACAAATATATGACTGATTATTTGATAATATATTTACTTGATGATCCTAAGATGTTTAGGGATTTAAGTTGGCCTGATACCTTGGAACCAATAGAAGCCATATTTTCTTGAATATTTTTACTTAGGTTTTCTCTTATATGATATAATGACTCACCTACAGGTCTCCTATAGTCTAACAAGGTTTTGTTTTGTGCTATAAAGACCTTTCCAAACTTTATTTAAGAAGAATTGTGTGTCTGGTGCATAGATATCAATACTGCCAAATCTAGTATATTCATGTTTTTGATTGTTTAGAAAACAGCCATTACTAAATAGTTCTGTTTTCTCTAAATGAAAAGTAAACTTTAACCCAGAAAGAAACTGATATGAGGAGATAAAAAAGTATTTCAAACACACAAAATGAAGTGATGGGGCGATAAAACATTTACATTGTGTACATCAAAGAGATAATTGTATAAATGGAGACAAATGGAGAGAGATTTTTTTTATTTTTGATGTGCTGTGACAGATAAGAAACTTCTTGAGGGAACATGCCTGCTCTTTTTTCTGTATAATTAGGAATAATTTCCTCAGGGAATTAGGCTTCTTTACTTGAGAAGTCACTGTGAAGTTGTATGAAACTTTCTACTCTTCATAAGGTCTAAGTTTTTACCATGTTTTTAATAAGTGGTGATTTGCTAGTTATGGAATCTCTCTAAGTTATTGGATAGCTTTTGCTGTGGCAATGAATGAACCTGAAGCCTTAAGTAAGGGAAAGTCATCCAGACTTTACTGGGCTCCTCTGAGTTTGGAAGGACTCTGCTCCAATATGGATGCTGTATCTTTCGGGAACCTAGATAGAGGAAGCAGCACTCTCTGGAGCACTGGGTTCCCATAAGGTTTAGAGAAGCCTTGAGACCAAGTTGGAAGCCTCTTGAAAGCCTTTGCTCACACTGACACTGAACACACTCTCCATTGATTAACATATGTCTATGGTCCCTCTGAAGTTATTGGTAAACTTTATTTGCCTGCTGGAAAGAAGGAAACCAATGGAGCCAGTAATTCAGTATTGTATACTACTTCCTCAAGTTGCTGAGTATTAAATGCACATCTTACCATTTTTGTAAACAATAAAGATTTAAGTATAATTACAAACATGAGAAATTAAAGGAAGCAATTTTAGACAATGAGGCATTGTAGACAGTAATAGGTTAAAAAAAAAAAGGCAAGAGGAAGGGGAAGAATAACTACAAGATTGGGTAATTGAAGTTCCTGGAGTTATAGGAATAAACAATGGAAGAAATTGCAGAATTTGGTGAAGAATTTTAAATAAGCAGGAGATACTTACAAACATTATTTAGTACCAGTCTAGGTTGTCAGAGTTTTGCTGAAGTAATGCTTACTTGTAAATAATTTCTGTCTGGGAGATACTATGCAATATATTCTAATAGTCAGCATTCAGAAGACTCTTTTGTTGTCAAACTTTAGGTGAATTGTTAGGTTTAGTAATTTTTCTTTTTGAATAAACAGGACCGTAGAACTTTATGATTTTGTGCCTATTGAGCACTGGGGTTTAATCTTAGCTTTCTCTGACCCTAGTCTCTAGATAAGTTGTGCTGTCTACTCTTCATGTATGCTTTGGTGCCTGCCTACTCTGAATCCATGAAACTTCAGTTATCCATTCTACTTCTCTTCTGGTGTGTTCTCAATCTGAGAACATAGAAAAAAATCATCTTTCCACTAATAAAGTGACAAAAATCCCATCTGAAATTTGTGGGTTTTTTTTTTTTTTTTCCTACATAACACCATCTGATTCTTAAATAATCAGTCTGGACCTTTATCAGGTCCATTATTTATTTATACAAGCACTGGGTACAGTCAGAAGCTCAGGGGGTGGGGAGGCGTGCGGGGTGGGGGGTGAGAGAATTCACCAGAGCCAAAGCAGGGAGCAGAACAGGCAGACTGATCAAGTACACTGCTGAGGGGAGCAGCGGGCAGCAGGAGAGGTCTGCGTGCCATGTGGGACCCTCGCCCAGTGGCCGGGGATCTAACCTGTGCTGCAGAGGCTGCGGACAGCTTCGCAACCCAGCGCTCAACCACTGCGCCTCCAGGGGAGGCCCATCATTTCCATTTTTTAATCTTCCATTTCTTCCTCAATCCACTGCAGTCTTATTTTCAGCTTCTGTCATTCAATTTAAATGATTTCAGTAATACTTCAAATGGCTTCCTAATGTCAAGTGCATTGGTAAATTTCCATTTCTTGTTTCACTTTTGCCCCCTCACTTGGAACAGTCTTTCTTTGATTGTGACTTCCACCCCCGGAATCACTTCATATTCTTTATTCTCTGTGGTGGTCTTCAAAGATTCATTCTCAGTTTTCCTTTGCAAATTTTATGCACTCTCATCCATATCCTAGATATAACCACTACCTTGGAGCTGATAAATCTAACATAATCATGTGAGCTTTAGATCCATTTGTTTTTCTACTTCTCATCTTCACTTAGCCAAAGTGGGCCTGAAACTTGGTGAGTACAAAAGGAAATCAATATTTGCAGTACTCGTCTATCATCCTCTTCTTCCTCCTATGTTTTATATCTCAGTTGATGCTAATTAGTAGAATTGCAGTCCTGTACATTATATAGAAGCAATGTGTTAGTTATTGTTTAAAATATATGAGACCAATATTTATTTTTTTCCTTAAAATCAATGGAAGTAGAATCAAGTTGACATAGTTTTTATTGAACATACATTTTCCATTTGGATGGTATGTTTAACACTTTTGAAAAAGTGGTGGTGTGCTTTTTTCAAAGTGATGATGAAAAAATAAGTCATCAACATGAAAATGGAAACTGTCAAATCACTATAGATTTTTTTTAAAGATTTATTTTATTTATACAAGAGCCAGGGTACAGTCCAGATGCGCGGGAGGGTGAAAGGGTTCACCAGAGACAGAGCAGGGAACAGAACAGGCAGACTGAAAAAATATACTGTTGAGGGAAGCAGCAGGCAAGACAGGAGAGGTCTGCTTCAGTATTATATTTTCTTGAACTTTAAGCTTTTAAAATAAAATTAATCCTAGCAAATATAAAAGACCACAAAAATAAGAAAAAAAATATATCTCAGTTTTCAGGGAATTTGTGTGGCAAACAGACTTTCAGGAATTAGATCCATATAAGAAACATTAGTCTTGGCTATGGTCTAAGACCCAGAAATTCATGGTTATGGTGGTGATAGATTAGACTACTAATAAATTAACAAATTAAATGAAAGTAGTAGGAATGAAAGATAACTTAGATTAGTAATGGGCAGGGGCAAAAAAAAAAAATTACCAATGTCTTTGAAATACAGGAAAAAGTTATTTTTAGAATTCATGAAATGAGAATTTCTTAAATACCTTTAAAAGGGAAGAATGACCTTTGCTGTTTTTCATGTTAACTTTTTATAGCTTGTTTCTGTTCCTTTAAACATGCCACTTTGGATTTTGTTCTATTTGCCTGTCAAATAAGGAATACTAAAAACTACTAATATATGCATTATACAATAAATGTACCTTAGCTTCTTGAGCAAAATTTAATTAATAAAATCACTTAAAACCAGAAAACATACTATGAAATTTCTAATAAAGCATCTTGTTGACTAAGATGTTGACATAAATTCTAATATGTTGACCTTATAATATTAATCAGAAATATACCTATAATAAAAGCATAGATTAGATGTGTTGGGAGAAATGAAGTCCTGAACAAACTCCACAAATAGGTTTTATGGACCCCACCCCAGACCAAAGGCACCCAAGACACCAAGGACTACAAATCCCATAATGTCATCACCACGGAAGGGAGGATTGCAAGGAACAGAGGGTGGAGTTAAGCAGCCAGATTTTATATATAACCAGACATGTAAACCTTGGGGGTTCTTTTTTTTTTTGCCAGCTTTCAGTGTGCTATTGGGGAACTGATAGGATGCATTCACCAATTTATCTCTCTCTCTTTCTCCTGAGTTATTCATTTCTCCATTGCCCCTTTTTATAAATATTATGTTTTTGTGTGTACCTGTAGTTGAGCCTCATTATAAGTGCCTTTTAAGTGTGTGAGTGAGGACCCCCAGTCAGGCCAACCCATTTCACATTGGGGTTGTCCTGTAACAATTGGATAAAGAATGCATTTGATACAGGTAACCACTTGAAATAAATATATATATTATTCTATTATCTCCTTGTTACATGGAATTCATAGACTTTGAACTTGACTCTATATAGACCTTTTACATTATTTGTAACTGGGAAATTTGGTGCCCTATAATAGCATATTTATGATTCATTTCTCTTTCCATGAGGACTCTGGGCTCTCTGGCCACATAGACCAAGAATGCCAGGGAAGTGTAGAATTCTGTGAGTAGCTGGGTGACTTTGTTACCTGTTAGACCCCCAGTATTTAATTTTCAGCTCAGGCATATATTCTCATCATTTTTTTCTGAATTGTAACCTGAAGAGCATGTCTTAGTTTAAGACAGTACTTCATAAAATCAAACTAAAAATTTCTCTCTTTTTAACTCTTCTGACAACAGGCACATTTCTAAGTGAAAAAGAGTTATGGCTGTAGTCTGGTGGCATTTTTTCAAAACTTGTTTTCCATGAAATATTTCATCTATATGTAACAAAGCATTAGATAAAATAATCACAATGTATTTTTAATTCTTATATTTTTCATTAGGAAGATCTTTGATAATTCATTTATTTTCCTATTAATCTCTTGTTTCTGTTATTTTTTTTCTCTCTGTAATCCTATATCCTTAGCTCCTGCTGATATAATTAGGATTATATCAGTTACCCAAACTGTACTAATCATGTTTTCTATTCTGGGATTTAAAATTTGGGTTTTATGATCCCTGACTCTGAAAAAAAAGAAAAGGCAGAAAGGGTTAATCAATACTGAAGGCTAGTATACTATCCGTCAAGACATGACTTCCTGTCAGTGGCCAAGCACAGTTCTATGAGCTGTCAAACAAAAGGACTGATATGATGATCTAGTAATGGGTAAAAGAGAGAAAGCTCTTTCTAAATTGTAAGAAATTTCAATATGAAGAAATAGCAGGAAAACATAGTTTAGTAGCAAACTCTTTACAATAAAAAGGTTATGTCATTAGTGTGAAATAGATTAAGCTGAATATAACTGAATTTGGATGAAACTTTCTAAATTGTCACTTCTTATAGCTCTTTTCCCCTGCATAGGTGGTACAATTATTATTTAATACATAGAGCATGATTGGAAATGAAAATTACAGCCCTCAATGTAATGATTAGGAAGATAACTGCCAATCATCATTGTTGTGTGTATCTCCATGAGGAAATTATTCAAATATATTTTTAAAAATAACTGTAGAAAAGTGGAATAGAAAAACAAGTCAGCATAACAATCAAGCTAATATTTTCCTCTTTTTAATATACTTTATTGTTAAAGATGTGTAAATACAATAAACATTGATACTTTACGCAACTCTTTATTACTAAAATATTACATGTATAAAATTATAGGTGAAGAGTTAAAAATTAGTGCTTGCTATTGTTTAAAATATCAATGTGTAACTCTAATAACATCTGTCCCTTATCATCTCCTTTATATATCATGCATCTTTATAGCAAAAATGAAACATTCAATGCCTTGCTCAGATTTAGGACCCACTAAGGAATGCATTGAAAGAGGCATATTCTCTGTCAATTTTATTCACTTTGTGTATAAATACAATTTTTAAGAATTGCTTTTCTCATACTATCAGTACAGTAATTAATTGATAAAATGTATAGCTACTTTTGAATAGAAGTATAATCTCAATTATTATACATCTTCTGAAACAGTGGATATTTGTATATTTTATGTATTTTTCTGGATTTTTTTCTGATGCTCTGATAATAAAATTTCCTCAAATTTATTAATATCTGTATTTCTACAAATTAGATACATTTGGTAAAAAGTTACTAAAACTGCCTGTTTTCAGAGATATTTTGATTATGTCAATTTAGAGTCTTGATTACTCCAGGTTCTTCAGAGTAACAGAACCATGATCTGTAGTTGGCATGCTGGGGACTCAGAGAGCCAGTGATGCAGTTCTAGACCAAAGTTGACAGGTTCAAGATCTAAGAAGAGTGATGTTTCAGATCAAGTTCAAATACAGGAAAAACTCCAAGCCTGTGTCCCATCTCAAGGAAGACAAGCAAGAGAAAATCCTCGCCCCACCCTGCCCCCCACAGTGCTCATGGGAGGGACAGTCATTTTGTTCTATTTTCAGGCCTTTAAATAATGCTGGAGGGCAATCTGCTTTATTTAGTCTATTGGTTTAAATGTCAATCATATCCAGAAACACTCTCACAGAAACACCCAGAAATTTTTTTTTTAACCAAATATCTGGACACTATCACCCAGTTATTACCTAATTTTATTGACACATAAAATTAACAATCAGAGATTTCTTTTTCATTTACTTAACTTTAGCCTTTTAAATCATAATTATTTAAGCCACTATCATAGATTCAAGTAAATTTCTCCTTATTCCACTTTATGTTTTTCCTATTTCCCTTTATAAGCCTTTCTACTCTTCCTGTACTATGAATGGTGGCATTCTCTGGGTTTTTTTATGGAGATACTTTCCTACATAATCTATCCGCTCAGGTGACTACTACTACTGTGTTTATTGATGTTATAGTCTTCTCAGACTGCCATAAAAATACACAACAGATTTTGTCACTTAAACAACAAAAATGTATTTGCTCAGCTCTGAAGTTTGACTCTGATATCATTATGCTAGCAAAGCTAGTTTCTGGTGAGAACTGTCTTCCTGGTTTGCATATAACTGCTTTCTTCTTTTGCCCTCACCCAATAGATCAAGTGAGTCAGGAAGCTCTCTATTATGTCTCCATATAGGAGCACTAATCCCATCTTGAGGGTCCCTACCTGTTGAATTTATCTAAACCTAATTATCTGCCAAAAACTCTACCTTCAAACAATATTGCATTGGGGGTTGGGCCCTCAGCATATGGATTTTGGGAGAACACAGTTCAGTCTTGAGTAATTAGTATCACCAAAGTCACTATTTTCGCCAGCACAACTGTCTTGTTTTGTTTTTCCTCTCAAATTCACATGCCGAGTCTCTAACCTCCTTTACCTTAGCAGTGATATATTTGGAGATAGGACCATTAAAGTGGTGCTTAAGTAAAAAACAAAGCTGTTAGAGTATGCCTTAATCTAATCCAACTGTTGCCCTTATAAGAAGAGGAAATCTGCATAGACTTTCTGCCAAAGCTATCTGTAAGACCGAGAATGAAAAAATAAATTGACATCTTTATTTTAGGCTTCTAGTTTCCAGAACTATGAGAGAAAAAAAAAAATTCTGTTGTTTAAGCCATCCAGTGTGTGGTGGGTTTTTTTTTTTTTTTTAAAGCTTTATTTATTTATTTATTTATGTGTATAAGATAATCTGTCTGCTGGGGTAAAGGCCAGAGGTGCAGGGGGTGAGGGGATTCACCAGAGAC